ACACATTATAACAGAAACAAAACTATTACTACCTTAGCAAATTACAACAACTAATAGATGTACTATAGGTATTTATCTCCTTATACTCTTTCTTCCTCTACTTTACAAGTTTGCCCCAGTATTTACATTCCTCTACAAACAGCAAACACTATTAGTATAAGATTGTTTTAGAGAGGTCAGCTCAACACTAATGTTGTACAACCAGGTTGCCTTCTGTAGGTAGTATAGCCTCTACCTTGTTCTTTTTCAAACAGTATTTGTGACAGAAGACAATGAATACATTCTTAGGTTGTTTAATATGGTCTTAGTCACTAAGACTTAGTCATCACTCAGTCCCTGTAAGTTGAATTGTGTGTGCCTGTTGGTTGTAAGGTTGTATGTGTTGTGTAGGTTGAGGTTGTACTTGTGAGAGAAGTTGTAAGACTGTCTGGCTAAAGGTGTGAGTGTGAGTATTAGTATTAATGTGAGTAGCTAACTAGAGTAAGGAGATGAATGTATTACAATAGTGTGTAGCAAGTGTGAGTAGTGTACTAGGGTTGTGATCCAGAGTGTTGAACAAGATGATTTAGACTGTAGACAAAGCTGTGTTTGTACCTGTGTGTTACATACTCTAACTATGTTTTACAAGTAGAGGTACAGTAAACTGAGTTGTTAGGGATGACTGTAAAGGTGTATCTTTGGAACATTCTGGCTCAAAGGGAGGAGGTGAAGTAGAAGGTGTGAACAGACTCAGCTTAGGAGGGGTGAGTAGTAGGCTACTACTTCTGTTATTTGAAACAGTGTTATAAACAGTACTAGGTAATGTAAATGTACATCAAGTATAGAATGGTGGGTAGGGAAGGAAAGTATGTAAGGGGTTGGAGAGAGGATTGCACCTTGGGAATGGTTGTACATGGACATTGTTACAAGCATGTACTTACTAATTGTTACTTATACTATAGAGTAGAAAGAAGTGTGAATGTATTGGATTTATTAAAGAAATTGTTCAGTATTAGAAACAATGTGGATACACAAATGCACATTCAAAAAGGAAGGCAAACAAAAAGAAAAGGAGGACAACAAAGGAAAGGCAACTGTAGAGGAGCAGAAGGGAGACAAAAAAGTTGGGGAGAGAGAGATAAGTATCTATTATAGTACTTATTATAAAATGGACTAACTGCTTACACTGTATGTTGAAGGTAGAAGGGGACACTAAAGTCAGCTGTATAGTATAGTATAGTATAGTATATTACTAGTATAGGTCCCTAAAAAGAAACACTAGGGCTGGGTTGTGTTGTTACAGGATCTGAGCTCAACACAAGTATTATAATAACTAATTAGAGAGACAAGTGTAGTAATGTTTATTGTCTACCTACATAGTTGCAGGCAGTGTGCCTGCTAACAAGTAGAGGACTAGAATGGAGGGAATAAAAGTAACAAGTGCTACCATTTACAGGGTAGAGGGTTGAGGGTAGGAAGAGGTCAAAGGTAAGAAGTGACAAGAGTGAGTATAGTACTTAAGATTTAAGTAAAGTCCTATGTAATATTCAACCATTACATAAGCTAAGTAACTCACTTTATATTTACTATACTATTATAATATACATGTTACATTTGAGTATTATACATTTATTATGTTTATAACCTCTTAAACA